AAGATTTAGCTTTTGGCCAATTCAGAACTGTTGTCAGGTCCAAATACTGACCAAATGAACTTACTCTACTCTGAAGAAAGCTGAGCTGTCGCTTTCCCCTTCTCTTTAACAGGCATTGATGTTCTGGGTGGTAGATAATTTTCTTATGAAGAAAGGGAAGACAAAAGCTAAACTTGAAGAAAAGGAAGCAGGACAAGATTCAAGAAACGGCAGTAAAGTCCGATACAGGAGAGCAGCATCACACGAAGAGTCAGAGTCAGAAGTATGTAGAGTTACTTACTGCAACTAATGTGATAGCAATCCAGTTCACCCCTCCTGCCATTGATTTCATTGCAACACTGTCAACTCGGGTTTGGTTTTCTGTGCATGTACCTCTAATGGTGGTTCCTGGCAGTTCCTGTTGGGAACCAGTTAAGGAAAATGGCATTGTTGCACCACTTGTGGCAGTTGATTTCCTTCCAGGCAGGCAGGCAGGAAGACACAATAATATATGTAAATACCACAAGTGAGTTGTGTTGCAAATACTTCTGAAAAAAAGCCCCACAGGGAATACAAAACTAATAGACAATTCTAATTCAAAGAGAGCTTAATAGCTGAAAGTGAGAGGGAACTGTAGGAGGCAGCTGACCTGGTTTTGGAGGATTATTTGCATACTTTCCTTAGCATAATTTTATTCTAAATTATATTAAGTGAGCAGTTTTTAGTTCAGCTGAAGGATGAGTGGCTTCTGTTGGAAGGTAAGTTATTTTAGCTTTAGTAACTGTTCTGCATGATAGACAGTGCTTTTTATATGGGGTTTTCTTTAATAAAATGACTGCCATGTCACCTGTGTGGAGAGAGAGCTTAAGTATTCTCTGCCAAGCTATCCACACTATTCTGGAGGTGCAGGAATCACTTCTCTGCATTTGAAGGCTGTAGTGAGATTAATATGCATTCATCCTTCTTCAAAATTTACTGGAGGCTCCAGACAGAATGTGTGATGGTGTTTGATAGGGCTGACAGTAGCTCCTCATTGTCTTGTGTAAGCCTTTCCCTCAGCAAATAATGAGGTGCTTGGCAAGCATAAAGAAAGGGAAAAGTTTAAAAGTAGAAAGAAAAAGAGCATGACTTTGCTCCACATTACTCAGAAGCTGTGGTTTGTTTTTAGATCCTTATTTCAGCAGATGATGAGATGGAGGAGTCGGACGGCGAGGAGGACCTGCGCAGGCTGACCAACCTCAAGCCCATTAAGAAAAAGAAGCATCGCTTTGGGCTGCCTGTATGACACATTCCCTGACCTGTGTTTGCAGGTTTCGTGGCAAAACCTTCTGTCAGTGGGTTTTAATGTTGCAATTGCATCTCCCTTTTCATACAAACTGACTTCCAAGCAAGGTCTACCAACAGAAGGCAAGCAGTTGGAAGACTTCCAGTTCAGTTGCACTACAGACACACTGACCAATTATGCAAGAATGTCTTCTCATCATGTGTGGAAAGCAGTGGTGGTAAGGAGGACTGAGGAGGAGATTTGTATCAAACAAGTCAGAAGATCAGAGTGAACAGAATCAGAACCTTTCGCTTTTGGTTACTGATGAGACAGTGTAAGAAGTTCTCAAAAAGGCATCAGAATCCACTAAGTTAAAGGAGTGTGTTTTATTACTAAAACTGGCTTTTTGCAGCATAATTCCTAGAGCAGAATAGTTTATGGTTACAAGCTGTAACTTAACATTATTTTTTTAAGTACAAATGTTTACGTGCTACTGGGTACCTATGGAACTAATAGGTGGAACAAAGATTTTTTTCCAAGTCTCCTCAAATCTATTTGACTATTTTATATTTAAGTTATATTTTCATACAGTTGTATTTAAAGATTCTCTTTGTCAGAGAAAAGGGTGCAGTTCCCTTTTTTGTGCAGAACAGGTCAAAAGATTTGTAGTGAAAATCTTATTTATCCTTGTGTCCTGGTTTCAGACAAAGGGATTGCAGAGGGAAAAGCTCTCTGTCACTGCTGAAGTCACCAAATACCAGTAAAAATGCAGTCCTGTGTGTGCTTTTGAGCACGTAATTTGAAAATACCTTTTTTAATAGAAAACATTTAAATGTTTGCATATTTGACAAATGTGCACTTTAGTGTATAACAAAATTCTGTTGTGCTAGGTTATTTTTGGAATGAGTATCTATGGATGACCCCAATTACTCCTGTCTCTGCAAGTCTCTTGTGCATACCTCTCAAGTGACCCAGAAGAGATGGAGCATTTCTGATACTTTCCTTACACGGGGCCTGCAGTACAGGACCATGATCTGAATGAAGCAGTTGTGCTACAATATGGCAAAAATAACTCTGTCCCTTGTTTTTTGTTGGAAAAGCAATCCTCTATTTAATGTGCTGAACAGCAACAACAAAAAAACTTCTCCTGTTTCATTTCCATAAAGTCTCATTATCCTTCAGTAGTAAAAACCCAACCCCAAGGGGTGTAGTGCAGTTGTTCCTCCAGCATTTCTGTGATTTTCGGTGTCTGTCTGCTGGTAACTGCCAACACATGCTGATCTGAAGCCTGGCAGGCATGTTTGCAGTGACATCCTTTTGCTTTGCATATTTTCTGAATGATTGTTTCTGACAGCTTTCCTTGCTTAGGTTAAACCTTGTGCAGGACAAGGCAATGTGTCAAAGAGGTGACAACAGACCTTAAGTGAAAATCTGTTGTAGTATCTGGACACCAGAAAAGTTCCAAGCCTTAAACCAAACAGTTTCATTGGAAAACTGCTCAGAACTTTGTAAGGTTTTTTACATTTTTTTATAGATTTACTAGGTCTTAATGTGATTTATTATCCAGACCACTTAACTGGGCCTTAGTAAATACAGAACTGCGTGCTCCCGTGCTTACTCTCACCCCTCAGCAATCCTGTCCCGTGTGGCTGCTGAGGTGAACACGATGCTCTGGGACTGCAGGTGCACCTCAGCATGTCCAGATGGCTCAAAGGGACATCCTACCAAACCTGAGGTGTTAGTTGAGCCACTGACCTTTGTTACTGTGCACTGAATGTAAGAACTGCAATAAGTTACAGGACTGGTGTTTCTGTTAGACTAAATCTAGAAACTAATGACAGTGAAAGCTTAATTGAGTTCTTCTGACATGGGGGGTGGGATGGGGAAATGTCCCTCATCAATGTTGCCTCTGTTTTAGGGGTTTGGGGCTTTTTTTTATTGATTGTGTGACTTGCATCCTCTCTTGACTATTTACCACTGGCAGACGTGTCTCCAAAAGCACAGTACTTCAAGGAATTCATTTTCATCAACAGAGTAGTGTCATACAGGTCACTTTTCCAAAGGGATGTGAGAGCTAGGAGTGGCTCTTGTCACAAATGTCAGCATTTATTTTTTTAGCATAGGATTTGCTCTATTTCAGATAGTGAAACAAAGCTCTAGAACATGTCCCACTGCACAGCATTGCTGTCCTCGCCAGCCGAGGCAGCTGAGCAGCGCACACAAACCCAACTGTATGAGCTTGAGTTTTATCTTCCCTTTCCCCCCTCCAGTTACCTAAATTATCGAAATGATTCTAGTCTCATGTTTAGTCTGTGAAGTGTCAGTATAAAATTATGGCCTTAATCATGTAAAAGTATTTGTTTTGAGCAGACCTCAAAATTATTGACCAAGTACAAAACAGTGTAAAGCACTATGGAGCAGTTTCTTGAAGATGGTTGTAGCAAAGGTGCTGAATGCCTAATTTTTCATGTCTTAAGTGCTTAAATGTCACTTGGTGTGAGATTTTGATTTGCCCAGCAAGAAGATGTAGTAAAGCACTATGAGCCAAAGACACAGAAGTATTTTAAATGCCACAGTAGTAACAGGAGGAACAACCTTCAGAGGGGAAAAACCAGCTCTGACTTTCTCTACTAAGACAATAAATATATTCACAACTTCAGCTAACTAACAAACTCTGGGGTTTTATTCTATTCACTCTTTGCTGTCGTGTGAGAGAGGTGGAAAATGTAAAACTGGTGGTTTTCCTCTTTGTAAGATAGAAATTGGAATTGTTGCAGTAGGTACACGTAGGACAAGTGCTCTAGTCTGCAGGGCTTGCATGTGTGAGTATGTGCCTAGTGCTTCACTATGTCTTACTGCTTGTTGAAATGTACTGGCAGTACAGTCTGAAATAGACTTTTCATAAAGAGGAATGATACTGCAACACCACAATGTTTGCGTTGTCCTCAAACGGGCGCTCAAATCTGTTCAGGACAACTCATAGCAAAGGTTTAATTCAGGCTGTGCTTAAAATTTGCAATTCTGTTTAATGAAAATAAGCTACGTAGTATATGCCAAAGTAAGAGAAAGGGATTATAACTGAGAGAAGAGGCAAAGAAATAGTGGTGGTGATGGAATTTACCACAAATGGTCAACCTAAATGTATTAACTGTTTCTAGTATCCAACCTGTGACACATCTGCGTAAACTTAACACACTGCTGTTGTCTGATACGTGGTTTTCAGGTCCCCTTGTCTTACTTTAAGTAGGTGAATGCTGTCTGTTCATGTTGCTAACTAAAATGTACTATAGCTTTTCTTCAGGGAAAACTCAGAAATTGAGTTGCAAATTAGAGCAATGCAAAGTGATCCCCTCTGGCAGGTGTCTGCTCCGATTCCTGCCGTGCCTGGGGAGGGAGGCCTGGGCTCTCCCGCTCTGCTCAGAGCTGAGCATCACAAGAAATCTCTGCCACTGTGCTTGACTAACCCATGTTTGCAACTTTGCTGTGCTTCTTACAGGAGAAACCAGTAGTGAAAGCGAATAAATTCAGCCACATCAGTCAGAGTACATCTACAGCATAGGCGTGCAAACTTTTTTAGGTGAAGTTTCCAGTTCAATTACTGAAAATGACTACTATGGTTTTACAAAGTAAAACTGCAGTATCTTTAAAAAAGGGACTCTTTTGTAGGTGTTTTTGTCTCGCGTGGGCATCCGTCTCAAACTGAATGTGGGCTTGTTTGTAAGTAAATCCAGAGTATAGCCAACATGAGCGAAACCAACAGCTGTATTCTGCTGCCCTCTGTTTGGACCATATTGTTTAATCAGTGGTGTTACCTTAAACTTTTAAGGGTATCTGATGTAATTACATTGTATAATGGTTTACAATAAAGTTTGACTTATTACAGATTTGTACACTCGTTTTGTACTTGTTCTATTTCAAAGTGCACACGTTTCAATGTTTATTGTGTTCTTGTGGGAAGCAGGTTTTGCTCCTTGAGTTCAGCTTCAGATCTAAATTTGTGCACTCTTATGTGGATTTTAATTTCAATATATTCATTTACCTGAACATCCAGTCCCTTTTGAGCTGGAAGGACCACTGTTCCCAAGGTGGAAATTTCATTTATGATGGTAAGTATCCTTGCAGGCTCCTCTCAGATCTCTTCCCTGAGGAAGGTTTTTGCTGGGCTGGAGCTGCACATTATCCATCTGCTTGTGCCTCAGTAACTCCTCAATAAGGTTTGCCCACTATTTTCATTACTTTCCACCTACCACACCCAAGCAGCCTCACTGCCACTGCATCCTTACAGGGATCTCAGAGAACAGTCTTCACTCTGCTGAGCCTGTCAGTCCCCTGAGGGGTGTTAGCACTTTCCTGGAGGACAAGTCAGCCAGACCTGGAGGACTAAGCCTGACAAGAGTTCGAGAAGCATTTGGACAATGCTCTCAGGCCCATAGTGTGATTCTTGGTGCTGTCCTGTGCAGGGCCAGGAGGTGGGCTTTGATGATACTTGTGGGTCCTTTCCAACTCAGGATATTCCATGATTCTCAGTCAAATCTTCTCTACAATCTGTGTCTCCCAGGGACCACAGTGGTAGCTGTGTGTACATTCCCTAAATTCTTCATGGTCATCACCATATTTTAGCTGCAACTGCTCCTCAGCAAAGGAGTTTTCCACACTTCCTGGTGCAGTGGAGGGTGAAAGAGGATCAACTTGCATTTTTAGCAACCACTATGGAATAAATCAGCCTGTCTTGTTTCCTTGTCATTCATGTGCCATTAACAGATCTCAGGATCTCAACCATGTGAACAGGATTTCTACTCTGAAAGGTAAGTAACTGTAGATTTAAGTTGGGATTTTTGTAAAGAGAAGTAGCCCATGATCTGTATGAGCAAATGGTTGTGGCTGTTGTTGAGCACTGAGTTAGGAAATGTGTAATCAAAGAGAACAGAGCTGTCCAGTCTGTGGGGATGTCTTACAAACTTCAGGATATGCTGCTTACCTCTGTAAGCACCTCACCTGCCCCAAGTGGCTTACCAGGGTGAAGTGGTTTCATTTTGTTTGTATAACTTAAATTGCCATGAAACTCTGTTGCTTTTGAGTCAGGAATATGCAGTACCAATTAACTGAAGCAATTCTGAAAGCTGAAGGGAAAAATAGTTCAGTGTCTTGAATTCAAAACGTTTGCTTTAAACAGGCAGAATGGCATTTTCCAGTCCTAATGGAGAGCGTGGGAATAGGGACCATGATGGGACTGCAGAGAAACATCTTAGTAGCGAAGAAGTGTTACTTTGTACAATAGAAAAGAATCTGCTGGTTTTCCCAAAGTCAATGTTTTACTCTCCTGCTTTACTGGCCTACTAAAGGCACTGCTGTTCTGCAGAAATGCTTCCTCTGGAGTACTCAGCCATGGGTTTAAAATAGAAATTCAGCCCAAGGAGTGGCTGAGGACATAATACCCAAACTGCAGATGATGTCTGAGGGTTTGCCACAGCTGCCCTTCTCACATTGACTCACCTGGCTGCAGTCTTGGTTTTTTGTAGGTGTTGCGTGCAGTTACAGGACCTGATTTCTTTGCGTACAGCAAAGAATTCATGTCAAAAAATACAAAAATAAAAGGAAAACAACCCCCCACCCAACTGTCTCCCCGTAATAAAAAAATTACAATTCTTGCTTAGAGTTAAGTTTTTTTCAATTTAATTAAAAATTTGTTTAAAGAACAAATGTTAAAACTTCTGGGAAAAAATTTACTATGATGTCAGCATGTGCCGTGGGGAACACTGAGTTTATCCATGTCTGAGTAAGCTGTTCCTCTACAGATGAGGTGAAGTCATTGAACTTACTAATAGTGCTGGAAGTAGAAAGTGATTTTAGCCTTAGTTGTGTAAGAGCTGTCATCAGAGCACGCTCAGCGACAGAGCTGTAAGGGTAAACCCATACCCCAGTTTACTGACTCCAAAACACACAATACTCTTCTGGTAAAGCTCCCTGGGCAGAAGCGATTCAGGGCACAAAGTTATGCTTAGGTTTATACAATCTTTAGTAAACGCATATTTTGTTATGCTGGGAGAGCAGCAGTCTTTTTTTTCCTCTCCCTCTCCACTCCCTCCCCACCTCCCCAAGAGGCCTGAGGGTCAGGTTTGTGTCCATAACGAAGTTTTGCCTTTGGAGGACAGGCAGGTTTCCCGCGGGCTGTCCCAGCTGTCCCCTCCCGTCAGCGCCAGGAATGACGAGCCTGCCCGGGAGCCGACCCGGCTCTGACTCACCTTGGATGCTCTATATAAGTGCAGGGAAAGGAGAGGCAGCAGAGCTCCCGGGAGGGATCTGCCCGGAGCAGGGACAGCGCTCGGGAGGGTCCCGGCAGAGAGAGCTCCGCAGTTATGTCCCAGGTAGGGAGAGCTGTGTCCTGGCTGCCCCCGGCACAGGGTGCTGGAAAACCTCTTACTGCTCTGGATGCTTTGCTCGGAAAGGCTTATTAGTGAATTCCTCTTGTTAACCAGCGAATTCAGCTTTTCTGCTCTGTGGCTTGTGTGATGACATTGAAGTATTTACATGCTCTGTTTATATGTTTTAACAACTGCATCGTTAGGAGGGATTTTTTGATGAAGAAGGAAAGCAGCTGTGCTCTACAGGGTTAAATAATTTACTTTGAACGTGTTCTGGTTTACCTTAAATATTTTTATTTCTGTAGGACGAGAAAAACCACTTCCCCTGCTCTGGTTTGGGATATGTCACAGGAGACACATCCCATTCCCTGCCTTTCCAACAGCTTTCCCAGGCAGTGGTTTCAAATTCTGGCAGTAGTTTTGAAAGGAGGTGGCTATGCTGAAATGTGCCACTGTGTAAAGCTTAATGTATTAACATTCCAGAAAAGAGTGTGTGACTGAAAATTTTGACTGCTAGGATAAGATATTTGAGATTGAAATTTTGTATTACACACTTTGATGTTCACTTTGCAACTACCAGTTTGTCTTTACTGAGTTCCCCAATAGTCAGTGTTTCAAAGTGATCTTAAAATTGGCTCAGAAATTTTGAGGGTTTTACTCAAGTGTTACATTTTCAACACAGGCTGAGTGTGCCTGGCAGAGCTGTCCCCAGCATGAGAGTCTTGGGTGGTCAATGGGATGGAGAGTAGGAATATGGGGAGAGGAGAGTACAGTTCTGCAGCAACATAGAGTTAACAGTTCAGCTGATTTTCTTTACTCCAGAGAAAAAGGGACTTATAAAACAGTTGCATGTCTTGCAAACCAGCACTTTTTGACTCGAGACAGGAGGAGATCAAGCAGAGGCTGCACTCCTATGCCAGCTGGGAATGGCTCCTGGCAAACACTGCTCACAAACGCTGGGAGTTTAGCAGTGTTGGGGCTGTGACATGGGCAGCTGCTGGCCACAACCTCCCTGAGCAGCAGCTTTGGTCTTTAGCTAGGTGCCAAGTAATCCACAGCAACTGTTCTGCTGGAAAATCCTCCTGTGATCAAAGCATGGGAGGGTCTATTTTAAAATAACTGGGTGAAATTCAGCAGGTCTGCTCAGAATCTTAGTGCATCCAAAGTCCCCAAGAATTCCCTTGTCCCAGGGGGAAGAAGCCTTGCCATTACTGTCTCTTGCAAAAAATGATTGAAGGAGATTTGCAAGTTTCACATTTCTGCTAACAAAACAAAGGGCTTTTTCCCCTGTCTGTGTTGGTTGCCTGAGGACTGTGCCCTGGGCATGGGAGGCTGTTCCCATTGCATGCCAATTGTCATTACAGACTGACAGGTGGAACCAACCCTGGCTGTGGGGACGTTTGGGTACCCCACTAACTGACCACCAGCTGCTGTGGATTTTGAAGGGTTTGCTACTGCCCTTTCCCCTCACTTGCTTTGGCCACTTATGGAGTGCTTTCCCCAGGGATCTCATGAATGTTTTGTTTCCCACAACACATGCAAGTGGGATTGACAGTGAGCTATTCTGAGCGTTCCCGGGAATTTACAACATGCCAAAGGCTCCCGTGGAGCCAGACCACCCGACCAAGATCCAGGCATGCATGTGCTGCCTCTGCAGGCTCCCTGGGACTCACTGCTCCAGCCTTTTGCAGGTCTTGAGGGATTTGGTTTGCTCCACGACTGTTTTTAGCCTTACAGGCAGTGTCTGGAAATGCCTACAGGGCTCCAGCGCTGCCAGAACCCAAATACCAGAACCCTATGTAGGCAGCAATGGTCAGGGAAGTTTCTTGTTGATGCAAATCTATTAGAGTTGGAGTGTGTGGGTCTTCTTTTTAAGCAAATCCCTGTGCCCCTGCACCCTGCCAGTGAGCTGCCTGCTGGGGACTGGGAAATTTGTCCATGAAATGGTAAACTGAAGGGGGAATGCTATTGGTGCTGGCTGCTGCTGAGGGAAGTTGTGTCTGACTGTGAAGTGCTAATTTAAAGATAGGGATAGGCTGATATGAAGCAATGTTATCCTGATTTTCTTCTAGAGGGATAAACTGTAAACAGATTAGTACTTGGCCATTGCAGTGCACCACCTGATGAGGCATCTGTTTCTGGATTAGATTTCCTTCTTCTTTGGGTTCCAAGTCCAGCGTTTCAGATGTGTTCAGTATGTGCTTATAGACAGCCCTTTTGAGTATCCAGATACTTCTTTTCTCTAAGATCAATAACTATGGGTCAAGTGTTTATTCCAACTAAATGAAGTCAAGCTTCAGAATCCCTCTGAGCAGTTTCCCAAAGAAGTAGTGGGTAAACTGAGGCACAAGCCAAATTTAGTAATGAAAGGTTTTTTCCTTCCCAAATATTGGACAGATCCTTGAGTTACTAATCAGTACTTGCAGAATGACTAGGCAGGGCTAGACAGAGACAGTGTAAAAATACAAGTTTTTAAAAACTAAGGGATCCACTGCTCTTTCAAAGGCTGCATAGTCAGAAGGACAATGTCAGAACATTAAGAATGGCATCAGATTTTGGGAAGGGCAGTGAAGTTATGGTTATGCAAAGATCTGGAGGAGTGTGTAGTTTCAGAACTCAAACAGGTGGACTATCGTGTTAGCAGCTCTGTATGTTGCAGCCCTTGGGTTAAGGCAGCTTTGCCCTGTGTGTTGCTGAACATGAAACACTGATACATGGGCAACATGTCTGTCTTTCAGCCAGCCCCTGTGAAAAAGAAGCGTCCTCCAGTAAAGGAAGAAGACCTCAAAGGAGCCAGAGGAAATCTTGCCAAAAACCAGGAGATTAAATCCAAAACCTACCAAGTGATGAGGCAGTGTGGTAAGTCTCTTTGATGGAAACAATCAAGCAAAGCATTAATTTAATTGCTCTTTTCAAGTGGAAGGGTCACCTCTGGAAGAGCAGCCTGCAGTGTGCTCACAGCCCATCTGGGCAGGGATGTGGCATCCATCATCTGGAGGGCACCAAGAGGAGCCAGCTGGGCTCTGCTCAGGGTCATTGCTCTCCCTGTCTGGGTGAAATGGGTGGGAGCCCTGACTTTGCCTTCTGACCAGGGTTCAAACCAAGCCCTGGGACCACCCCACTGTCAATAACTGCCCAGTCGAGGATCAGAGGTTTGGTCCATGGGTTAGAGGATTTCTACCCTCTCAGCTGATATGTTTGAGATTCAGCAGAAATTGAGGGGAATAAAGACAAAGGGCAAAAGAGAAGAGAGTGGCTGTGTGCACTGAACACCCCTGGTCCTCTGGCTTTGTGCTGCTTTTCCACCACCAGTGGGAGAGTATAAGGAAAAATGATGAATTTTCACTCCTTTTCAGCACAATAGCCTGGACCTGTGCAGTTGCCAAATTTCTAAAGCCCTGCAGGAATCGAGTAACCCACAGACACTGTCAGCTGTCCTCTGCTGGGGATGGCAGCACTGTGCTTTAAGGCTTGGGGAGTTGGAGAAATGAAATACTTACCAAATGCATATATATGTGTTTCAGCAGCACTAGTTTTACTCCCTGAATTTGGTGTGCTACTTGACTGATTGTCTCTCTTGGTTTTCTTTTCCAAGAACAAATGGGCTCTGCAGCACCTTCCGTATTCAGCCGAGCTCGGACAGGGGGTGAAACTGTCTTTGAGAAACCGAAAGATGAGCCAGCCAAGAGCGTCTTTGGCTGACAGCAGAGCTCGATGTGTCTCACCCACATGATGGTTGTAACATTTTCCCAAATTTCTGTCCCTTACACTAAAGTTACTGTAGATCCAAGTAGCTACTTTCCACTGTAAGTCATTAAGAATACACTCATGGCAAAGGATAAAACTTCCATGTTAATTTTTATAACATGCTTTATTTCTATGTATTGGACAGTGTTTGCTCTACTGGTTTAATAAAAAAAAGGTTGTTGGACACAGCTTGGCACACTCTGGTGTCTCATTTCAGTTTAGACTCAGATGAATTCTGGGGATGTTTTGGTATTACAGGAAATTATTTCTTCTGTCAAATGCAAAGAAGAAACTCCCTGTTGACACAGTCTTGGTGAGATATCTTCACACTGTGCCCTCACTAAGACATTGCTGAGGAGACACAGCACAGACACCTGGAGCACTCACCTGGATTTGTGCTGCCCTGGGTAGGTCTCTCTGGGCTGGGGCATGACGTGGGGCACAGCTCTGTCCACACAGCCCTCCCCTCACTCCTGCCCCTCCAGCCCCCTCGGTGGGGCCTCAGAGTGCCCCAGCACCAAGGGAGGGGTTTCAGCCTATTCCCCAGTGCCTTCTCCCTCATGTCCTGCCGGATCAAGCGAGACGTGGGATGACAGACCAGGAGTGTGGGCACCGTGTCCTGCCTGACGGAGGAGCCAAGTGACCACCAAGTGTCCCTGGACAGCAGCCACCCCACTCTGATGGGGACCTGGTTCCTTGCAATGCTGTTCACTTCTGGATTTGCTGCATTAAACATCAAACCTGTTTTCCCCCAATCCCCTGCATGTTTCCCCTCAGCTGGATGTTTGTGCTCAAACGCAGAGGATCCTCTGTTTCCTGTGCACCTGCCACACCTTTCACACACCCCACGTCCCTGCAGCACACCCAGGGATGGTAAGGTAGGTGACACCTTGATTTATGGAATTAGTTTCATTTTACACAAGCCAGACCTGATTAAGAGGTAGGAGTGATGTCGAAGGTCTCTCTGCTCTGTGAAAAATATTGTCTTTGCCTTTTTTGTCCCAAACACTTGTCAATAAAGCATGGCAATGCCCACACAGCTCCCAGAGACTCTATGGAGCAGGTTTGCTTGAGGCGGCTCAAACCCTTTGGGTTTAAGGGGAAAGCTTCCTGAAAAAATAAAGATATTGCTGGCACACTGCTTCACCCCATTTTTTTTCACTTGCAGATGTTATTATTTGCAGCCCAGACCCTGCCCCCTCACTCAGTGGGACACGATGTCTCCGTGTGGCCTGGGCCCCCCACAGACACCTCAATACAGCCTTTCCTCTGACAAAGTCCCTTTCAAAATTTTGAGCATCAAAAGAAATCAGGAAGGAAAAAAAATCCTGCCCTGGTAAGGCTGGAGCTGTCCCTGCATTGCATTTAACAAACCCTCTGCTGGGAAAGTTCCGCGCGGGGAAGCAAGCGGCTGACTCAGTGTGAGTGATAAAGCAAGCTCCAACTTTATTGTTAGCTCAGTCCTTCCCTGATACAGTGCATGAATAACTATGCTTATTGTTCTCTTTACCATTACATAACCATTACCTAAACCCTAAAAGTTACATTTGTATACTTTCTTAGCTTGCAGGACAACTATGCCTATTGTTCACTTTAGCATTACCTAAGCTCTAAAGGTTACATTCATATACTATTTCTGCTTGCAGCTGCAGCTGTGAAGAAGTCTCCTTTATTCTCTGGAGAATCCTTCTTTGTTTTCCCGGATAGTTCGTCCTTGGGCTTGCAACATTGCTGAGTTTTCCCAGATAGCTTGTCCTTCAGCTGCAGCATTATGCTGAGAAAATAACTTCTAATGCTGAGAAACTAAGTTCCTAAGGCCTACTTCATTGTTATATGCTCTAAGCTCCCATAGACCTTTTCTCGACTCTTACTCGAACAATGCTCTCTGGGAGCTGCTGTGCCCCTGTTCCCTTTGCCATTCTTCAACAACCCTCCTTATTAACCTGTGATGAGAATTTGGCAGGAGGTTTAATAATTAGAAAAATGATGGAGACAAATGGGGTAAAATGTTGTCATTGCTTTCTTTTGTGCTGACTAGTGTGTGACTGACTAGTGCAGATTAGCAGGTGGGTAGAAGGAGTTGCTGTGTTTTAGCTCTGGCTCTGGGTATGTTGGTGTCAGTTTGCAGGTGCAACATGGAAGCAAAGTGAGTTATCTTGCCAGAAACTTGGGATTTGGCTAACAGCTTTATTACCAGGATGTCCTCAGATTCAGTTGCTGGTGATGCTTCCCGGTGTGGCAGTAAGTGCTCAGGAATGGAGACTTTTTCTTCTTTTTCTGTCTTTTAAGATGGAGCTCTTCTTAAAAACACAATTGAAGGTAAAACCATATTCCTGGGACAAAGTCACTCCCCACTTGTGACAGCAAGGTCTGTGCACTCCTGCCTGGATCGTGGGACTCCTGCCCTGCCCCCAGCATTGCTGCTGTGCTGGAGAAGGGAGAAGTCACTGGCTGCTGATGCAGCACAGGAGATACTTGTAGGTGAGAGTAAAAACAGAAAGCTGCCTGGAGACATTTTTTGTCAATTTTTTTCTTCATCCTTGAGAATCTAATCATGGAAAATGTGTTTTCTTCCTTTTAGCTTTTCCTCATTTCATAATGAGAAATAGTGATAGAGAAATGCCTGAACAAAGCCCCAGGGTTTGTTTTTTAGCTAACTTTGCACTGAAAAGTTGTCATGGTGTGTTCAGGTCCTTCCTCTGGGGTGACCTGGAGTCATGTGCAGCTGTGGGACTGGTGCCCAGTGCCCCAGCAGCAGTGGTGCTGACACTGGCACTGAGGTTTGCACCAGAACAGGGCGCAGTGCTCGAGCCAGGGCTTAGTGGGAGGATGTTCCTGCAGCTGCTTCAGCAAGCCCCTGAGGGATGCAGGAGGAGTCTCCCAGCTCTCCCAGGTGCTGTCCTGCTCCAAGCAGCCAGGAGTGAGGCAGAGCTGACCATGCAGCCTAGATCTGTGCAGTGAAAGCAGCTCTGTACCAGCCATGCCATTTCACATGTGGGCATTAGAAAGCTGATGACAGACCCACTTAATTAAAGCTAAAGCTTAGGCTCTTGCAGCTCTTAGGCCACTAAGTGTATAATCCTGTGTATTTTAAGGGATTAAAGCATTACATGAGTTGTACAAGTTAATCAAATATATAGTCATTTAATTTTTTCTCTGTTAAAATATATGTATTTATTTACATGTCCTGCTATGAAGTATTTGCAAGTAGTATAAACAGTCTGTCTGGGAGGAGTGAAGTTTAGTTTTTGAAAAAGTTACTTAAAGCACAAGCAAGCTGTGCTCAGCACATTCCTGAAAGTGAACTTGGTCTCTGGTGAGCAATAAATTATCGAGCCCTGCATTAGTGTCTCCTTGCAAATCAGAGGCTTTCCTCTCCTCCCAACTGTTGGACATTTTGTCTGTGAAATAGCAATGAAGCAAACACAGGTGCTTATAGTTCCACAGGACTTCTATGTCACTTTAGGACAATGAATGGCATCACATCCCAAGGGTTATGGTTCGTCAGGGGAAGCTGAAAAGGAATGTTTCACAAGTGCTGCGCTGTACCCTCGTGGGCCAGCTGGGCAGGGAGGCACGAGGGTTGAAGAATCATCAGGTGCAAAATCTCACGTGAGTGTTGCATATCTTGGCAATCTCCAAATCCTTGAAGTGCTTGAGATAACGCCAAGGATGTGTCCTTTCAAATGATTACTGTGGGATGTGGTAGAGATTCCTGCAGCTTGCACAGACCAGTTCATCTGCCTGTGGGATTTCATGTGCCACAGAGAGATCTGAGTTTAAAAAGAAAACATAAGGATTTTTTAACTTTATGCATTATGAAACATTAAAATTATAAGGTTTAACTGCAAAGGTCTGTTGGAGAACTAAGCACTAACCAAGTCCAAGTTTTACCCATGTTTAACATGTAAATATTAAGTTTCTGGGGCTCTTCAGATTCTACGCAATATCTCCAAGTACAAGTTACTCATTAACTGATTAAGATAAGCAGAGATTTAATTTGAAAATCTGTTTCTTCCAAAATGGAGCAGAGAACATTGCTTGCATTGATGGTCTTGTCCTCACTCGTAATATTAGCAGAAACTGTTGCTCATAAGGTATTTGCTCTTTTTTTATTATCGATATCTCATTTGCTCCCTTGGTGATCTGGTGGTATCGCAGTTGTGGGACAGGTAACTCCTCTGGTGACCCCCACCTGGGGAGCCTTGGGTGTGTTGTGTTGGGATTTTAGAGCTTTGGGTCCTTTCAAGACCCTTTAGGTTGTTTGTTTGGGCTGTTTGGGTAGAAATGTGGAGGAGGAAGATGTGTCTGTCTGATCACACTCCTCCCTGGTGATGTACAGTATCAAATTTGAGGGATCAGTGGCTCTGCCTTGGCCACCTGATGAGGTTTGCATCTTGCCACAAGGACCACATGAGGATAGCTGCAGTGCTAGGAGGTTTCTGACAGCCATGGAATGGAAAAGAGGGGAGTAGACAGTTATTTGCAGTCTGGAGAAGCAAACTGTGCTTTCTCAGGGTGCATGTGGCTGGTCACATTTTAAAGACATCAGTATTGGAGAAGCAGAGGAAGTCTTACATCAGAGGGGTTTTATTTCCATTGTGCCTATTCAGAAAAGTGTGGAACGCTGCAGAAATGCAGGTGGGGTTTGGGAGGCAGGGACAGGCCTTGTGGCTGCTGCAGGGGCAGCCAAGGGCTCTGCAGGAAGCCATGGATGTGGTGCATGGGCCTGGAGTGCCTTTGCTTTTGGGTACACACCTGGGGCTGGTGCTCCTCTGCTTCCTTCACCAAGGGCACAGGGATGCTCCTCACCATGTTGCACCCCACTGAGTGCTTGTTTGTGCTAGCCATAACCTAAAATGCTGCTGGGGCTCGGCAAGTGCAGGTGATGCAGGTCCTCGTCCCTGCAGGTGGGCTGGACTTTGCACAGGGTAAGTTTTGCACAAGTCAAGCTCCTCCTGTACTGGAAGGATGCTTCATGGGCAGCAATGGCCATCACACACCTGCCCTGCCCAAGTGAGATGGCTCAGGGCTCCT